GATTGCAGCTACTCGAGTTCGCAAGGTCGAAACGACTTCCACAGCTCCGACTCCGTTTTGAAATCATATTATGGATCAAAATATGACAAAAATTCACATAGCAAATTGCTAGAGCTTCGTCAATCATTAGCCCTAGATTTCAACAAGTGCATTTCTGAATAAAATAAAATGATCAACCAAGGCTTCATCAATCATTAGCACTTGGTTTCAGCAAACCCATCATACAAATAAAATAAAAGTGAGGCCTCCAAGACATTCCAGCAATTTAACTTTCATCACCCAGTAGTACTTATAAAGTCATTCAAATGGCCAAGGGCTTCATCAATCATTAGCCCTTGACAACGTCAATTACTTCCAACCACAATTCAATCAAAAATTTAAAACACAAGTAAGCTAAAATCTCAATCCAAATCCAAATTTAGTTTCACGAAGAAACAGGACGTTCATACAAAACAGTCTACTTGGAGGGTTCACAGACAGCAGTACACATGGAGGAAAAATACGAAATTTCTACAGGACAAAGGCCTATGATTATAGTTTCAAATGCCACTGACGGCGCCTTAATCGGATTTTCCTACACCAAGATATAAGCATTTTGCCTAGACTGGTCAGTGAAATCCGAAAATCTGAAAATTCTTGTTCACTTGTGAAAAACTCCTTTTTCTCTTTTAAAACCATAGGACTTTTATTCAAACCATCCGTACATTTAAATATGACATTCATACCAGTATATACCAAGGCAAATAACACTTAATTCCAGCAAATGGTTCAGCCAAGAATTCATGTATATACTAATCTGTCATCAGCTATATATGACAACCATCAATTGGCAATTCACCCACAATTCGAGTGTTTCACCTCTGCATGTCTTATAAAACTTTAAAACAACATATTCCAGGCATTTCCAATCATTGTGTTTCAAGGAATAATTTCACAACCGAGCTAAAACTCCGATTCAACCTTCGGATACCACAAAACAAATTTCCAGCATTTATTTTCCAACATTTGGGTCAGTCTTTTAGTCATTCAAATTTCCAGCACTAAGTTGTTCATGAATTCAATATTTCTTTGGCTAGGACATGCCATTATACTCTCAACTTCATCATGCAATTACTTGGCTAGTCCGTTAACATTTCCAACTCGAAATTAAGTTTAAACAACTGTTATAATCCTTGAAATTTCCAGGTTTAAACTCATGGTAGTTCACAAAAATTTTCCAGCAATTGTATGTCCTTATCACAACTTTTTCCTCGGTTAAAACAGAGTTTTAAGTACTCCATTAGGACATGCAAACACTTAGCTAGCTAGTAAAGGTTTCCATATCAAAACCAGATTCAAACAACAATTATACTTGTTTAAAACAAATCCAGAAATTCTGTTTAGCATGGCCTTGGTCGAACATACATGTAACAACTCCCCTTTTATTTTTATTTTCTGTTTAAAACCAACCCAATCAATTTCATACAGAGCTTAGTTATCTAGTTAATAACTAGTTAATTGCAGTTATAAGCTCAGAAATTACATTCGGTTAACGACAAAAGTCATCCAAAAATTCCAGAATTTTCCAACAAGTCTCGGATGAAACATGCATGTGGCAGATTCAGTTTCGTTTTATTTTTCTGATCTAAACCCAGCAATTAACCACATGCAAAGCTCAATTATCATGTTATTAACTAGTTATTTATGGTTGCAAACTCAAAACAACGAAATTGAATCAAATGAAGCTACATTACTAAGACAAACTCTCGGCCAACTCAATAGATTTCCAGCAATTAGATTGGTCATAAATCCGACTTTTCCCTCGGTTAATTCATGGTATTAGGTGCTTAAAATTAACATGCAAATATTTAACTTGCTAATCAATATTTCTAGTTCAAAATCGGATTCAAACACAGCCCTAATCATCCAAGAAAACCAGAAATTCTGTTCAATTAGTCATGGATGAAGTTGCATGCATAGATTTTCTGTTCTCATTTTATTTCCTTGGTTAGCCGAGCTACTTAGCCTCATGCAAGACTTAATTACCTTCTTATTAGTGAGGTAATCATATTCGCAAGCTCTGGTGTATCAATTAACCAAAATTACAGCTGCGTTTCTGGTTTAAGCTCACGGCAAGTCTAAATTTCTTGCGCACAACAGAAATTCTGTTCTTAAAATTCCCATTCGAGTGCCTAACATCAACATGCATGTCCCTAGATGACTTATCCTTATTGTAATTAATTAGTTAAACACTAAATCAAACTCAAATTGTCGCAGGAAATCAGAAATAATGCTACATTTCTGAAATAGCTACTCGGCAGAATGTTTAGCCCCAAAACAGAATTTTTGTATACTATACCACATCATCCGAATGCGCAAATCAACATGCATGGTATTAGACTTCAAGTTTTCATTCAGCTAAAGTCACTTAGGTGTTCAGATGTCCCAGAAAAATGAAAATAAAACTGCATTATCGGCTCAACTTCTCAGCAGAAACATCAACATTCAAAACAGAAATTTTCTAATGGCTTAATCTCATTCATCCGATTGTACCATAGTACATGCATGCCTCTAGATAGCTCAAACTACCTCTGATCAGTCCTTAAACGATCCAGAAATTTACCTCACAGCAAGCTAAGCTTTCACGCAAAAATTCGGGAAAATTTCTGCTCCCTCTCGGCTCTCACGAACACTGGTTGGTCCTGGTTCGATTTGCAGCTGGAAATGGTGGTCTGAAGTGAACGAAAATGGTGATGATCAGCAGCTCCTTCGACTTCCACTTGCTCTCCCTGGTTTCACTCCGACTCACGGACAGAACCAAAAACATTCAATCCTGCGGTTTCTTTTCTTCCTCTCGGCTGCAGAATGCAGCTCGGCCTCTCTCACGCTCTCTCGGTTTGTCGACACTAGCAAGGCAGAGTGAATTGCAGTTGTGGCTTGAGATGTGAAGTGGAAAGGAAATGAGGAGGGTGCCGTGGTTTTGAGAGGTGTTTGTGGGTAGAATTGGTTGAGTGTTTGAGAGTTTTGAGTGTTTGATTGGGGAAGCTTTTCATTGGCCGAATGAAGAGGTTGTGAAGATGTTGTCCGGCAGGTTTGATTTTGGGATTGCATGGCTATTTTAAGATTGTATGGAGGGCATTTTGGTCTTTTCACATCTCCTCCTAATATCCCCTTAAGTCCTTGGCTCTAACTAAAGTCCAAAAATTATCCCCAAGTGTGATTTAAACGTCGAATTACACACTAGTCCTACAAGACCTTAATTATCGTAAGTCTTACGTCCTAAGTATATCTAGGATACTTTTATCGTTCTTGTCCAAAATTTATCGATTGCATCTTAATACTAAGGTTTCTGTATACCCTTAATCTTATTCGTAATAAAGTTAGCTATTGCAAATTAAGGAATTTATTTTTAGAGAGTAAACTTAATATCGCTCAAGAATTATTACTTTTAGTATAACAAAACTGAATAATTCAATATTGGTTACAATTATATTATTTATTACATAAACATTATCTTTATACTTTATTTCAAAACAATTAATTACAATACTAGAGTTCAGAGAGATTAATTGTTAGGTCAAAGAAATAGTTTACCATTGAAATATGAATTTAAAGTAGCAAAACTAATAAGTTTAGTACATAGAGTAAAATATATTCACGTAGTCCAATTTGAGAATACTCAATATTTTGCACATTTAACGTGTTTGCGATTTTAAAATTGTGTTTACATATTTATTCAAAGACAAAATTCATTCTCTTGAAGAAACGGGACATTTAAACAGGATAGCCTACTTCTTGAGCAAATTAATAATTTGTAAGTGATCACTTATCATACTTCCTTTATTATTTAAACTATTAAAATCAAGTTTGGCCTTATATATAAATTTAACATTCATAATATTCATTTATCCCTTTTATATCAACTTATTATCTTAATCATTTTCAAACCATAAAACATACCTGTCTTCAAAATTAACTTGTATACTCATTCAATCTAATGAACTTTCTCAATCCAATATTAATTATGACTTATATATACTCCATTCCCCTTACACCGTTATCAGGGTATTTTTAAATTCTCAATTTTGATAAGAATTCAATTAAGCATTTAATTAACCACTTATTCATTATATGACATATTTCTAAGCTCAAGGTAAATAAATGCAAAGCTTACACATGATTTCTCGAGTTTTCACACTCTGGAACTGGTATATTTGAGTATTATCTCTACTATTATCTTTGGAATTTGGGTCTGGTACAGGGAGATGATCGGAGGAACGGGATTGGGGATAAACAGTGATCTACGGACATTATAATTCTATGGTTGACGGAGTGTCAACGGATCTTGGACAAGTTGCTACGAAACCTATTCTCGAGAGCAGACTATATCTCTTTACATGTATGTGTTCTTTACTGTACATTGTTAAATGAGTTATTTGGAGACTACTTGCTTCATGGAATATATAATCATGCTATCATGTGAATGTTAAAATGCCTGATAGATTGCTTGTTATTTTTTTGGAACCTTACTGGGTTTTTTGTTCATCCTATTATTTGTTTTCCTTAATAGGGTATGAGATGAGAGAGATAAGAATAGCAATAGTTTGTAATAGGAAATCTTGAGTTTGTATTTCGATCTACTTAGCTGTATGTATAAGTATGGATGTTTTGGTAATTGAATGGTTTGTAATATTTATTGAGGAGTTTCATGCTTACTTTGGAGTTAATGTTATCTCTAAGTTAATGTTAGTGAGTGAGTTCTAGCAAGGGTTGGACAGCCGGTTCGCTAACCTTTGGGGTACACTCTACGGGGAGGTGGGGTCATCACAAAATTAGCAGTTATAGGAATGCATGTACCTTGGCGCCAAGTTTAGAAGTATGGAATTTATTCCAAATAACACTCTGACGAGAAATTTTGCCACTGCTTTGACACTTACAATTCTATACTTTCTTACAAGTGATCCAATTAAAATTTGGAAATTTTGGATAGAGGATAGGAAAGACACATACACGAAGAAAGCTCAAACAATTGCCATTTTCAAGTCCAGAAGTTGTCCAATTGTAACCATTGGGAATATGTTGCATTGAGATGGTATATCTTTCAATAGCTGGATGCATACTTGCTTCATTTTAGGGCTCAACTGAGGATTGGGTTCTATACATGACAATGCCAGCTTTGCCACCAAGGTCACTTGTTTTGACTCTTGCTTACTTGGAGACAAAAGTCGAGGATCCACAATATCTTTCAGCAGTGTATCATATGCTGCTGTAGTAGATGATGATGCTGACAATGTTGACGATATGGAATCACCTAGATGCTTGCCAATTATCACTTCTAAAGTTAATACTCCAAAACTATAAACGTCACATTTTTCATTTACTTCCAAGGTATATGCGAGTTCTGCAATTCACAAATCAATAATCACTTCATACTATGGCGCAGATGAACATATCTATGTAACTAGGAATTAGATTATTGAATCATATTCAAAAACAAAATTGCTTTGCTCATGTTAGCTTTATATTACTATGCATTCGTTGAAAAGAGAAGGTAAAGAGACAAGTTAGATTTGTTTGAGCAAAGAAGAGTATACCTGGAGCAGATCATCCATAAGTTCCAGCGAATGAAGTCTAGGAGATGAATCAAGCCTCAAGATTCTTGCAGTGCCAAAGTCAGAAATATGAGTTTGATACTCGGAATCTAATAAAATATTTTTGCTAGATATATCTCGATGAATTATAGAAGGTAAATAGGATTGATGCATGTAAGATAATGCATTTGCCACATCTTTATCAATGTTTACCCTCTTGATCCAATCTAACCTGGCTGCTGTTACATCATTGCTCAACAAGTGCAGCAAGCTTCTCTCTTCCAAGAAATCATAAACTAAGAAGGTGTGTTGTGCATGTGAACAGAATCTGTACCGCTTCACGATGTTGCGATGCCTTATATTTGTTAGTGCACGGATCGCACTGGCAAAATCTTTTGATCTCCTGAAGGCACCATCATCCATTCCATGAAGTTTCTTGATAGCAACCACTTGACCATTTGGCAACTCTGCTCTAAATACACTTCCAAATCCTCCCACTCCGATGCAATACTTGGGGTCGAAATTCTCTATTGCATCAATGATGTTCTCATGGACCATTTTCCCGTCAAAGATCTAGACAGAGACATATCTCTAGTAAATTCCTGAGGCTTATTCTCCATGCTTCTCATATGTGACCTTGCATGAATGAAGATGTCCACAACCACGACCAAAAGAAATATGGTTTCTAGTATTGGAGCAACAACTAGAAAGATCATTCTTTTAGTTGTCCTTCTACTGATCTTCTTTTGAGTTGATTGAGAGCAAGGCTTCAATCCAACAACAGTGCCACAGAGACCTTTATTGTTTCTTAGAGCATCAAATGGAGTTTTCTGAGATGCACTAGTGTTGGGAAGAGGACCTTCCAATTGATTATAGGATATATCAATGCAAATCAAGCTGAAGCAATGATCAAAGCTTTTTGGATGGAACCTGATATCCTATTATGCGAAAGATTCATCTTCTTAACGCTTTTTATCTCGCCTAGCTCTGGTGGCAATTTGGATTCCAACATGTTTTGGCTAAAATCTAGTGTTGCAAGTGAGTGAAGATTTCCTATTTGAGAAGGAATACTTTCAATGAGTGTATTTTGGCTCAAATTCAAATCCAGCAATTGTGTACAATCGCCTATTTGTTTTGGAATTGAGCCACTAAGATTATTGGCCGACAAACTAAGGTTTAAAAGTCTAGACATCTGACCAATTTCTGATGGTATATTGCCTGAAAGATCGTTGCTGTCCAGCATAAGCTCAAGCAACGAACTCAACTTTCCCAAACTTCTAGGGATCCTCCCATGCAAGTGATTTGAAGAGAGATGGAGTTTTTGCACATGAGATAACTCTCCAGGACTAGTTGGTATTCTGCCCGAAAGATCATTGTTCGAGATGGACAACAGTGTCAAAGTTAGATACCTTGTCCATTTCCAAGACAACTGACCAAAAAATTATTATTGTTTAAATAAATAATATCCATATATGGATAGACGCCAAATTCTTCCGAGATATTTCTCGATAGTTGGTTGTAAGCAACACTGATAGTTCCTAAACCAGAATAGTTTTTCAAGCTCCTTGGCATACCACCGACAAAGTTATTTTCAGATACTATGAACCTTGTCAGTGAGCTACCAATGCAAATATTTTGGGGTAAATGACCGGTAAGATAGTTTTGTTTGAGACATCATTAGCACATTTAAATGTGTAAGATTGTTGAATCCATCTGGAAGAGCACCACTTTGCAGGTTTTGGAAAATACGAATATAAGCTAGTAACTTCAATGTTCCCAATTCCGGAGGAATAGCCCTATATAAGTTGTTTTGGGAAGGTTGAAAGTCAACGAGATTGGTCAAATTTCCTAACGCAAAAGGAATCTGTCTGGCAAGCTTGTTTTCAAGAAGGTTTAAATTAGTTAACATCTTCAAATTACCAATCTCTTCTGGGATGGGACCTGTTATGTGGTTCCGAAAAAGAAATAATCCATTTAGGTTTGTCAAGTTTCCAATTTCTTTGGGAATGTGTCCAGAAAGATAATTTTCAAAAAGATATAGTGGGTTTAGGTTTGTCAAGTTTCCAATTTCTTTTGGAATAGGCCTAGAAAGATAATTTTGGGAAAGATACAGCAGAGTCAAGTCCAATAGATAGGGGAATCGGACCTGTGAGCGCATTGTCATCTAAAGAGAATTGAGTAAGAGATCTGAGTTTCCCAATCTCTTCTGGAATGGATCCTGAAAGTTTGTTGGTTCCTAGGGCCAACATGGATAGGTTGGTCAGATTGCCAATAGAAGTAGGGATTGATCCAGGGAACTCATTCACTTGCAAAAAGAGAAAAACAAGAGGCTTAGGTGGCGTTTGGTTCGTATGTTGGAATCGGATTCAGATTCGGAATCATTCATCTTGGATTTGGAATGCAATCAATCATTCCAATACATTTGTTTGGTTCAGTACCAGGTATGTATATCATTACTATAGTTGATGTTTGGTTCTTTGGCTCCTTGTAAATGGGATATAAGAAATTTTCACTAATTAAATATATTAGTATAAATGTATTAGTAAATTTAGTATAACTAATTAATAATTTCTACTAGTAAACATGTATAATTATTAGTATAATTGATAATATCAGTTATATTACATAGATTAATACACATTATATAATACATATAACTAATAATATCATTAGTATAAGTTTGTAACTAATTAAATTAATTATTATATATAAAATTAAATATAATTATACAAATGTTATAATATAAACATATAATTATAATTATATAATATATACAATATTAATTATACTAATATTTTATATAAATATAATATATAATATACATTATTATATTTAAAATAATAAATATAAATATAATTATATAATTTATTAATATTATATACATGTATATATTATAATTATATGCACATATAATATACATTTATAAATATACATATATATTATAAATATATTATTATATAATAATAATAAATTTATAATATATATCATATAAATATAATTATATTTAATTAAATAATTACAATATATATTTATATAATATGCTAATATTATAATAAAATAATATAATTATACTACATATTATATATATATATGTATATATTATAATATAAATATAAATATATAATTATATAATATAAATAAATATTAATTACACTAATATTATATATTATAAAGTATGAAGCTTCAAGCTCCTTTGTTTGATCTAAAAACTAAAATATAAAAACTAAGAACTTGTTTGTAGAGAGAGGGAGGAGGATTCTTCAAGCTAGAGAGAGAAGTAGTCTTGAAAAATTGGTGTAAGAATGGTGTGTTGAATGTGTTGGGTTTGAGGGGTATTTATAGCAGTTTTTCCGTAGTGCTACAGTACCGCTACAGTGTTTGCTACAGTACCGCTACAGTGCGCGCTACAGTACATTGTTTGTCTTTTGTTGCCGTGCATGCACAGTAACTTGCCGGACCGCTACAGTACCTCCGGTGCTACAGGAGGTTTTGGGATGAATTGGGTAAAAAGATTGAAAAGGTATTTTTCTGGATAGATTGTAAGAATCTTCTTGGCATGGGTATAGGCTGCCTCTTGGTCAATCCTGATTTCAATTTCATGAATGACCAATTTTGTTGAAACAGACTCTGCCTGAATCTCTTGTTTGGTGACTGATTTGTTCAGAGAAGATCTTGTTTGAGGTTTTTGCCCGATGCGTCTAGTTTTCCACCGGATGTGTCTGATAGCTTGACATTTATTTCTTGTTTGAATAGGAGAATGATCAATTCTATTCTTCCAAGAATATAAATGCTGGAGGTATTTGAATTTCTGGATTTTGTGACTCCCCTTGCTGGGTCTGATGGATCTTGGAATATTGATTCGAGATCTAGCCAGATTTGTCAGATCTGATTTTTTAGATACTCCTTGTATTTGAGGTTGTTCCTTTAAGTTGTTGAAGATCCATGTCTCCTCTGTTTGTCCCTTGTATTTACTGGATAACCATGTTTCTTTTGTATAAGACTCCACCTTGAGACTTGGGTACTCAATATTAAGTACCTCTAACTTATCAAGCTGCAACCGTTTATAAGTTATAAAAGAATATATAAATGATTTAGGAATTTCTTTTGAATTTTTTCGTAAAGAATTTTGAATTATATCTTTAGTTGACTGGGTTTCAACTAACAGGTTTTCTTGTTTAAAAGAAATAATATTCGTTTGTGGATTAATAACCATTGTCTTGGAAAAAGGTTGAGAGGGAATTTCAGCAGTTTCTTGTTTAATAATTGATTTGAAGAAATCAATTTTTGTTTGAACATTTTCATTAGTTATAGGTTTGATACTATGTTGATTCTTGTTTAAGACATTTATTGAGGAATATCCTACGTCTAAGGAATTTCCTATGTCTTTTCTAATACAAGTAGAATTAACAGAATTATCAATTGATTGTCCGAAAATCAAGAGTTTTGAAGTCTTAATAGACTCTTGGTTTGTTAAATCTACTGGGTTTGATAGATCTACGGGAGAATCTGGTAAATCTATATCTGTTGGGTTTATATAGTTTGATTTTGATGGATCTATGGATTCTGAGAGTTTATGAGAGGATTGTAGTGTCTGGGTTGTTTGAAACAGATCTATGGATAGATCTAAAGGTTCTTGTGTAGAATCTGTTGGAGATAGATCTATGACTTTTGGCTTAGTTTGAAATAGATTTACAGGATCTAAAGTAGAATCCTGGGATTTTGACATAGAGGATGCAGGTTTTGAAAGGTTTTGAACTGGATTTTTGAGTTCTGGTGCAGACTCTTTAGTTGTTTGAGACTCATACCAGTCAAAGAAATGAATATTTTGTTTTGTTTTTGTCAAAAAGTCATAAAAGTTTTCTTGAATATTTTTTCGAGCTTCTCCCTTATATTTGTCAAAAAATTGTTTTCTTTTAAAATGATTGTGGTTTGCATAGAATTCTGATCTGATGTCAATTTCGAAATCAGAAGGTTTGCTTTCTAGTTTTCTTTGAATAAGGATTGATTGCTCAATTTGAGCAATTCTAGTTTGAAGTCTATCCAAAGGTTTGTTGTTTGAAGAAGAACTAGAATTTATAAAGTATGCTTTAACCGGAGAAGTCATTTTAAAACAAGAAAATTAAATAAATAAACTTTTAAATGATTTAGAAAACTTATAATCCTCTTCCCTTTGGCACAGAATCCTTCGGGATCCATGGAGGATAAACTATTTTTCTTAATCAGATTATAAAGGATAGTGTGAAACCTACAAGAAAAGATCTAACCTTTTGAGAAGAATTAACTATGCATGACGACCATATTTCCATCATATTAAAGATAGTAAAAATAAACCTACGAGAATAGATCTAAATCTTTTGAGAAAGATTAACTATACATGACGACCATATTTCCAAACAAAATCATAAGATTGATAGTAAAAACTCATTTTTCCTGGATCTGATCTTGTGACACTTCCCCGTCTTGGAGTACGTCCAAGAACCTCAATGCCCCTACAGAGCCAAATCCCATGGTCTTATCTGGACCGGACGTTGGCACTTACTGGATCCATGTCATTCAAT